GACGGAGAAATATGAATGTATTCATGAAGTTATTCTTGAAATGGATTCGACCTAATTGATATTCTAATTTTATATGCATTTGTGTAGAAATCTTTATATATATAATTCTTTTTTGAGTGTGTATGTCACTGAACTTCTCTCAAACGACTGGACCGATTTTGATGAATTTTTTTGTGTGTGTTCAAGGGGATCTGGGAATGGTTTAGATTCACAATTTGAATAAAAATTTTCATCAAAAAAATTATTAAAAAAAGTTTGAAATTTGGAAATTAAAGACGTGTAGACAGGACAACGTCTGTCGGGTCCGCTAGTTTATTATAATAAAAAAAAACATATAATATGTATCCTAAATAATAAAAATATATATAAAAAATAAAAACCAAGTGCCGTTCGTTAGTCTTGCTAAAACTCAAAAACGGCTGGACAGATTTGAATAATTATTTTTTATTTTCTTAGGGGAGTGTTAGGGGGGGGGGGGCAACGTACGTTCACCTTGTCGTGGTGGGGGGGCTCAGTAGTGTCCGGCAATCCAACCGGGCGCGAAGCTAAGAAACGCACAGGGAGGTTGCCCACTTCGGTGGGCGGTGGGAGGTGGCCCTCTTCAGGGGGCGGTGTACCTTGCGGGTTGCTCCTGGTACTTCTCTGATAGCAGAGTGGACCTTGGAGCAACCCCATGGTTGTGGTGGTCTGCTTTGGCAGACCAGCCGTCGGGGCGTCGTAGTTGAATGCGTAAGCGATCCTGCGACGCCCCATTAAGACGGGGGAAGGTTTTGTTGGGTTTTAGTGGGTAGTACTGGCTGTATTACGCCGGTGAGTCCCACACGTCGTGCGTAAATGCATTTCCCAACGTTAAAAAAAAAAAAAAAAAGAAGTGTTAGGGGTGGTTTAGGTATAAAAAATAGGGAAAACCCAAAAAACAAAACAGCTAAACAATCGAAAAGTTCAAAATTGTTCATCTTGTATGGTAATCACTAACCGTTAGACCGTTACACGTACCTAGGGACGAACCCGAGCCAAGTCAGGGTGAGTTGCTTGTTAAAAATATAAAATTGAAGAATGTATTGTTATTGACCTTCGAAACTTCCAATCTGATTTGTTTTTTTTTAATTTAACTTATCGAATCGAAGGAGGTTGTATCTTATAATATTAAATGAGCTGTTCTTGTATATATGTATGTTTATAAATTTATTTCGTGTGTTTCGGAAATAGTTCTAACGATTTGGATTAACTTTAGTATGTACATAAGATTTTGTTTTTTATGTTTGTCATCTCGTATTTAGGTGTCTTTTCTGAAAAAAATGCAATTTTATATCTTTCCTGGAAAAAAAAAACGCCAAGCGAAGCTCAGTAGCCCAGATACTAGAATTAAATGAGCAATAAGTTAATTTCGCGAATCCCGGAAACGGCTTTAACGATTTGGATTAAATTTTGTATTTAGATAAGGTTTTGCTTTTTAAGTTTAGCTATATAGATGTACTTTCTGAAAAAAACGCATTTTTACACCTTTTCCAAAAACACCCAGTGAGGCTCGGTCTATAGGTTATATATACTCGTAGGAGCTGGCATCAATCAACTATCCCTAGGAGCAGAGTAATCTATACTAACATTATAAAGAGATAAAGTTTGTGAGTTTGTGCGGTTGTAGGGGGTAATCTCTGGATCTACTGAACCGATTTAGATGGAATTTGGTAAGAAGATAGTTTGAGACCCTGGAAAGGACATAGGAAACTTTTTAGCCCGAAAATCGTCCTTTAAGGGGGTGAAAAGGGGGTGGAAGATTCAATTAGTAAGCAAGCTAGGGACGAACCCGAGCGAAGCGAGGGTGAGTCGCTAGTTAAACATAGACTAAGTGACATGAGAATTTGTTATTTATAAAAATGAAATTAAATCTCAGTATGATTATTTTGTTACTTCGCGAGGATTGTGCAGGAAATATTGGATACACTTTCAAATATTTCATTCAAAAATATCACTTTCTTTTAAAGGATAAAGGGCACACATAAATATGCAAGTCCAACCCGCACTTGGCCGGTTTTGTGTTTTTCTATATTATCTATTTCATTAATATATTTTTTTACATATTTATTTAGGTAATATGTTATATATTATGTTATTATTATGTTAGCAAAATTTTTTTAGAATAAGAAACAGTAGGTATATAAAAAGAAACGTTTCTGTATCTAAGGCGCCATTTCTGTATTCGTCGCGTGCAGTCTATTTTGCACTTCAATGCACCGTAGCGCGATATACATATAATTTAATTTAAAATAACAAATCATCCACTTTTTATTTGTCTATTAGTCGTCTGTTATATTAGCTGGCCGTGGGTTCTATTCCCGTACGAAGTACCTACATGTTAAGTCAGCGTACAAAAAATGAGTACTATAACAGTTAGCTCGTATCCATTAATATCTATTAAATCCCATATTAATATAAATAAAAAAAAAAATACAAAAAATTTCAAAACGGCAAAATTTTTTGTGCAGATACACATATGAGTATTACCATAAGTATTTTTATTTCGATTAATCAATATTATCGACTTGATTCGATATTTTCGATTTTTTAATTATTTTTATACCTCAATATATAGTCGATATACTTATACGTTGTTGTTTTAGCTAAATTTAAAAAATAATATTTCATTAAAAAGGTTATCATGCTAAAAATTAAAGAAAATATTAATTTTATAATACAAAAAATATATATGTAAAACCAGCCTTTTAACAATTTCCAACTAGGCAACATAAGCTTAACCAATTATGATAGTGTTTTTACTTTGAACGTATGGAACAACTCAAGTGTAAAACGACACTAGTCACCAATAGAACGTCTATCGACAACAAGAGACGCGATGCATTCGAGCGAGAAATTGACCGAACGCTTTGTGTAAAAGATCACTCGTTTTTTTTTTAACTACTTTTTAATTTAAATTAACTTTTTAGATTTATACGCAGATTCATTTTGAATTTTATCGGGTGTCGTGATATCTCTCCCGTGACCGATTGTTGTAAATCATTCGAAACGTCGGGAACCAAAAATCAAAAATATAATCCACAAAAAAAATCCGAAAAGAAAAGTTAGTTTTATTTAAAATAAGTGGCTTGCCGTATCGTATACGTTTAATTTTTTTGAGCGGAACCCTAATTGTTTTTCTAAAATAAAAGTAGCCTAAGTTATAACATTAGCTACCTGCCAGTAAAAGTCCCGTCAATACGGGTCCCTTTCGGAGATTGGCCAGAACAAATAGACAAGACAGACAGACAAAATTAAAAAAAAAAGCATTTATTTTTATAAATACCGTACCTTTATATATAATTTAAATGCATCTAGTAAACAACTGTTATTCTGACATTACAAACAGCCACTTCAATTTTATTTATTTATATAGATTTCAAATATTAGCGTATTAAAGAAAGTCTATTTCTAAGAAAGTATTAATTTTTAACTACTTAATAAGTTACACCGACCAAAACTTACTTTAAATGTAAATATATATACTGAATATTACATTTATTCACCTAACATATAGGCACTTAGAATTCGTAGCTTTGCCCTTTGGTCTGAGAAAAAATCGCTAGTTTTATTTGAACTTTGAGAATAGTGATGTTCTACTTCTTATTTTATTACTCAATATATTACAACACGAAAATATGTTTGTTAGTCTGGCTGTTTGTCTCTTACCTTACCTCAGTAACGCGGCACTTGATCGACGTGATTTTCTCTTCATATAAAAAAGTGTGTTTGTACACTATCTATACATATGTATAATAAGTTTGTATATTAGAAACTAAGAAGCAATAAAATGAAAAAGATTTCATAAGTGCCTACGTGACATTCTCAAGCACGCGGTAACGTGAAAGTTGCCTCGATACCGTCTAAAATTTAAAAAGTTTTAGAGGCTTGTACAGAAGTTACACCGAGAATAGTTCAGAATTCCTTCGAACCGCCAACAACTTGTCACCCACTCACAAGTAACTTATTGCAGAAGAGCACTAATTGATAACGTAACATTGTCTTATAAACTTAGATTTTATCCAGCTTACGGTTGTTTCGAACGAAGTAATTTTTGAACAAGTGAGAAAAATATTGACGACGTCACATTTGGCTCAGTTTGTAGTGACCCTACTTGCCGTGCCAGCGGTTGCGGGTTCGAATCCCGTTGGGCGCATTCATTTGTGCGATGAGCACGAATGCTTGTACTCCAGTCATGGGTGCTTATACTTGTAATGTGTATGTATTTAAAGTTATATATGTGTAGTGTATCAACTACATATCTGGTATCCATAACACAAGCCTCGTAGCTTACCATGGCATTGGCACTAGATGGTGCTGTGAACATGTTTATATTTATTGCATTCATGTATAAAGTACTATTTATTCCCAAGGAGGGTTGACGTCAGGCAGGCGGCTAGTCGTAAAACTTTTGCCAAATCCTACCAGCAGTACGGTAGATGTACTGCGCCGAACCCAAATGATTGGGAAACGGTCAGGGAGATGATGACGTGTAGTACTGTTTAATTATACTGAGTGAAAAAAAGTGTTTGTCGCATATAAAATCAGTATGAAAAGTATAATTAAGTTAATTGCAAAAACAAAACCAAAAACTTGTATATTTTTCTTAATTCGTCTAAATCTTACTATTGAACTTATTCTTAGTCTACGTTAATTAAAATATCATTTAATTATACCTCAAAACTCGCACAATGCTAAAAACAATTTTTTTTAATAACGAATACATATAATGTACGATGATATACATAATATGGTACTTTATTAAACTCCAATCCCATCATATTAATTCTTAAAAGGAAGACAGAGAAAACAAAATAACTCATCTTATCTATCTCTTTTTCGCCAGTGTTGTACTCTACGCTACATTTTTTTTTAAGCAGTAAGAGACCAAAAAGTCTACCAATGATCAATGGCAATAAAAAAAATTACCTAAAGCGGGAAGTGAACCTAAAATTTATTATATAAGAAAATAAGTTCAAACTCACTGTAGGGCTGTGGTCGTCCGCCGGTGTACTGGGGTGACTGTAGCAATGGAGCGCTCCTTTGCGTTGGCTGTACATCTTCTGACACTGGAAGAGATGAAATATGTATAAGTAAATAAAATGAATGGACAAAACCGTGAGAACGATGCTAAATATGCTTGAAATAGATATGGACTACGTCAATATCTACACATTACATATACTTTAAAAAAGTATAATAATAAAAATATATTCACAATAGAAGATATCTCGTAACATACACACAGACAGACACATAAGATACCTAATATTGAACATAGACGGTCCTAACTTTATAGCAAACTTTCTCATCAAAAAAAATATATTTATACCAGTGTATAAATGAACGAGTCACTTTAAAAAATATATTTTCCTATTGCTAATATTTATTTCTGCAAACTGGACACATGTCATTTATTACAAAATCTGTCAAAACCCATCAAAACGCTCTTATAATTATAAATTCATTCCTACAAAATCATTGCACTAAATGGGGATTCTGGATATTGATATCTATCTTATTTCTAGACTAGATACGTGTAGCGTTAAAAAAAAAATATTTTTTTATAGTACATTGGTTATTGGATTTTTTTGGACACAGTAGATTCGATTTTGATTATAAGTTTGTATCCTCTGTGTGCCTTTGACAAAAAATATATATAAGGATTTTTTATGCTATAGCTATAAAAAAAATGATAATCATATATCAACTAAAAATGCTTAATCCAAATGAAACTTCAAATGCACACTATTCAAATGTTATTTTCACGCAAATGTTCTAATCGAAAGGTGATCTCACTAATCTATACGAATAATACTGTCTTATATTTATGCGATTTTAAATAAAACTATCTTTTTAAGTCTCTTACGTGACCATGATTGCTGTAAGGCAAGAAACGTGGGGAACCAAAAATCAAAATTAATCTGCGAAAAAATTCAAAAAGATAGTTGTATTTAATCCATACGAACTATACTATATTTTATAGTTTAAAAATAGCAGTAAAATTGCCATAAAAATGAGAAAGAAACAAAAAAATAAGGAAAAAAAAACGATTTTACTACAACAAAGTTTAGATGAGAAAAGTAAAAAGCACAGATAAAAAAAAACAAAAAAAAAGAACATGCTAAACAAAAATTGTAAAAAAAACTAAGCACTAGATCTTCGTTAAACTGACCGGGCTAGTATTTACGATCACAGCTCAATTATAAAATGTCAAACAAATTTGAACGTTAACACACAACATAATAGGATTCAATATTGCATTCACCTAACTTACCGTGATTTCAACCGTCGGTATCTTCGCGTTGAACATCCCACCGTCACTTCCCTGCACATATAAAAAAGACGAGACCACTCTTTATTCAATCGTTTTATTCTCCTTTAAAAACCCCATGGTTTTATTTAACATAGCGTCAACGGTGCATGCCAATTTCGCCATAGTCAAAGCTACAAAATAACGATACTAAACAAAAATGTATATATCCGTTGTCATTCCTCTGACTGTCTGTGTGAGACATTTTAGTGTCGTGTTTGATGTTTTTGCATACGTTTCTTCATATTGATGTGGTTTTTAAATATATATTTTTGATTTGATTCTTCACGTTTTTTGATCTCTCTATATAATATTTTTTTAAGAGTGTGTCTGTCTTTAGTTTTATATGTGCATAGAAGATTCGATATAACAATATTTATTGGTTATAATATCTTGTACATCGAAGCTCGGGTTAGGTTCACCAAAAGTTGCCACGTGTCGATACAAAATATAATATATATACTAAGTATACTAAGCTTTTAAGCTCTCTTTTAGCAGCACGCTTAGCTCAGTCATTGAAAAAGTTTAAAAAAAGCGTTATTTACGACTACGGCCGATAACGATTTTTATATCGCTTTGTGTTTGGTCAACCTCCCCCTTTGCCTCATGTGTACATCTGTATGTTAATATACACTGTAGTGGATGCATTAAGAACTATGTAGAAAAAGCTAGACAGTATAAGTGACAAAATAAGTTTTAGAAGAGAAAAGCTCGTGCTAACGTTTCAGTAAGAATAATCGAGTAAATATCGATTTTTACCCAACATACAATTTATATTGTGGGTTAAATCATAAATGTTTAAACACTCTGAAACATTAACACTCATGTTATAGTGATCGTAAGCAATACATACCAGATATGGAGTGCAGAAAGCTTTGCTGTACCTAAATCGGTAAAATTTGTGTTCTATTCGGTCGATAACAATTCGATAATTATTACTGTAGACCTAAAACTGTATTAATGAAATGCTTATACCATATTTCAGGAGGGAAATTATTCATTAAAAAAAAACCATCATACACCCTTCTTGAAATCGGTCAAAAAATGACAATAACCTACAAGTGGCTGAACCAAAAATTGTCATCGACCAAACACAGTGTGGCAAAGCTGAAAAGTATACGCATTTGTTCAAACAGTTTTCAAATGATGAGGTCAAATGATGTATTAAAGAACAGTGTAAAAGTTAAATATATATATTGTTATTAAAGCAAAATAGGTAAATAAAACATGAATAGAGTCTAAGCACTGCTTTCCTAAGAACGCAATATCAGTCTATATTATAATTATAATTTATTTAATAAGTTCGGAAGGATTTTCCATTAAATATTCTTGCTAACAGCTTTTAACTGAAAGATGTAATATTAGGTTAAAGCTTTTAAATAGAAGCTTGAATATTAAAGTAAGTACGATGTGAGGAAATTATCTTGAATTCATTTTGGTATATTAAATATATACGTCGCCTTATACTTATGTTTATACGTAAATAAATACGTGTACGAGGTCTAATAAATTGATATATGTACTAGAAAAGCCCACTAAGCCAGTGATAGCTCGATGGTAGCGTGCTCGCTTAGGAAACCGAGTGAAGCGGGTTCTCATGTGTCGGGTTTTCATGTGCGAATCATTTCCGACATCATTACCACTCGTCTTACGGTGAAGGAAAAAATCGTGAGAAAACCTGCATGTCTGAGAGAATCTAGCAAGTTTTCGAAAGACATGTGAAGTCAGCCTGCACTTCGCCAGCGTGATGGACTATGGCCCGATCCCCCTCGTATTGAAGGGAGACCCATATCCAGCAGTGGGAGGTAAAAAAGCTGAATACATATACTAGAAAAGGTCAAAAACTACAAAAGTAGACTACCGCCTTTAATTTCATCAAAAAACACATGAAATTGTTGTATTAAAAATAAAGGATCCATAAATAGAAACAGAGTCGCGGACAAAAGTTAGTTTCAATATGAGTGGAAATTCATTGTGTATTTCACGTGCACGAGAAAATTCCTCGGAAGAAACCTTGTTGCTGGTTTCCTTCGAGTTTTAGCTTCTGAGAAACTTAGTTACGTACATTTAAGTTTTAATCAACGAGAGTTACAGAAATATTATGCTTTAGATTAAGGCCATATTGTGTTTTAATAATAAAATAAAACTAAATAATATTCATGGAGAAGATTTTGTTCTGATATAGGGTTTAAAATATTAAAGTAGATAAGTGTTAAGTTGGCTTTACGCTTTTAAGATCGCTTGCTTAGTGATTTATATGAGAACTAGCGACTCACCCTCGCTCCGCTCGGGTTCGTCCCTGCTTACATTTTAACGTTTATATAGATTAGTATAGATTTCTCAGTATTTTCCCGCAGTAAAAAGTATCCTATATGTTGACCCGGATAATCAGCTACCATCATAACAAATTTCATCAAAATCCCTAGTGATTTTTCTGTGAAGCGATCACAGACAGACAGAAAGACAAGACAAAACTATAGATTCGGCCTCTGTATCGATAATAATGATTATTTCAATACATTTAGATTTTTTGTATAATAATTACGATTTTGGAGTATATGGGAATATACCTAACAAAGCCGTAACAGAATGTATGTACTCGTACAATGTGCATATATTGACATGTTACATAGTGTTCAATAAACAAAAATATATCTGCCAAAGCCTTCAAACGGTATAAAGGCATATTCACACGAGTATATCTCATATAAATCTCCTTTCAGGTGTTATTTAGCATTCTCTTTGGCACAAGGGAAGTGGTAAATTCGAATTCCTTGTCTTCTATGGGTCGAATTCTATTTGGAGTCTCATTTCATTCGTGTGCGCTAAATTTGAGATATTGAGACGGAATACGGTTTGTTCTTGTTGAACAATATTGGATTTATTGGCAATTTAAATACGATCAGGACGCTTTAGGTTACAGTTTTATTTTGACTAACTATCATATCATGTCTCAAATATTGCTTGAATATTCATCGATTTTAGAATCGCCTGTCAAAATTTCACCATAGTGTCAACATAAAAATTATATTTAAAAAAAAATCGACGTACGTATAAGTGCGTAAGTTTGTATGAATATATGTATGTATGTTATTCCTTTACGCTGAAACGGCTGGGCTGATTTGGATGTACCTAGAGTAACTCATAGTCTACTTTTTTTCGAATGCTTTAGAGGAATCATTCCCGTGACCATGATTGCTGTAAAGCATTGATCTGTGTGGATCGAAATAATTACAGTAATTCTGATTAATATATTTTTGTCTATATTTTTTGTCTATAAAGATAGCAATAGTGTTGCTCAATATTTTAACTTTAAATAATAGCAATCTAAATTAATATTTTATCTTCTTTTAAATTATATATAAAACAATATTATTGCTTAGATAAATAATTAATATTTTTAATTTTTAATATTTTTTATGGTTATACATAATATAATAATAGCAACACTAAATAATATTAGTAATAAATAAAGTTTTTTTAAAATTGTAATATTTATAATAATAACAGTAAAAATTAAGTAAATAATATTGCTATAAATTATTATTTATATTAAAATTTTTAAAATGTTTAGAAATAAAAATCAACAAATATTGTAAGGTACTTTATTGCCATTTTTTGAATCTTTGAAATCATTTTTGTAAAATAGTGGGTAGGCACTGTCTGTAACAAGTATGTGTTTGAGACGTCTATAACCTTAGTCTCTCCCGTGACCATGATTGCTGTAAAGCATTCGAAACGTCGGGAACCAAAAAC